ACGTTTACGTAATTGTAGATCAGGGTTTATCGATGCAAAATTGTTACAGACGTATCGACAAAACTCAGTAGAGATTTGGTAAATTTGACAACGTTGTATTTTTTTTCTAGTAAAAATCTAATAATTTTCAGTAGTATTTACGAACACGAATGAAAATGGAAATAAATTGTGATATCTTTATTCAAAAAAGTTTATGGCTATGATTAAACTGTTTCCAACTTTCCAAGGATGCCTTCCAATAAGCGACACAGATGATACGATGTAACACAGTGTATCAAGTATACATCCTTGTTCGCCAATGTTAAACAAGAATGAGATAATCACTATATGTACTGTGTCGTTTGTTGGATGGTACTCCAAGGGCCATATCATAGTCCGTCGTCGACTTCAGGTTCCTAGCAATTTTAGGCCGCCTAGGCTAAGTACGCTTTGAACTGAACTTAAGGATCCATAGGTGTGTAATTTCAGTGTTGACTTGTGTCACGTCCGCGACAATTTTTATTTTGTCCAGAAATAAATCATAGAATAAATCATAAAATATTCCCTGAGCCATACACGCGAGGCACCAAATCGCCTAAGCCGCACCTGACACCTTCCTCACCACTAGAGCACAGTATATACAGTTAAGTCAGTATCGCAAAATTACTAAAGAAAAGTACTAAAAATAGCGTCGATTGCAGACGAAATATGAAATCCATCAATCGTCTATTAGTCAGCCATTTTTAGTACCAATGAATAATTGGCTGACAGTCAGCGAATCAGAATGCGGCACACCGGTTGCGCTTCTCTGATATCTAGGACTCTACTCACCACCAGCGCCTAGCGATAACAAGGCAAGGAAGCCTTGATACCACCCTAAGGAGTCTCCGCGTGCAAGCGCGCAAGTGCTCAGAGAGTCTGAGGTGCCAGCACATGCGGCGTAACTTGCGTAAGCGTAATTTGCGCCGACCAATCATATCGTTTCACATGAACATCAATTTCTGCCTAGTTAAGGCGCGTCTACAATAGGGTTCGTAAGCTTAACATAAACGTAAACATAAGAAATCACTCCGCATTGTCTACAATAGCAGCCCATAAACGTAACGTAACATAATAAATCGTAAACTCGTATTTGAGTATTCTAACCTCTGTACTACATAAGTTTTTATACAATATATAGGAATTTCAGAACTATATAATATAATGGATATTTATCGAGTTAAAAAAATTAGTCTTGTAACTATTCAACTAGCTACTATTGTTATGCAGTTATTATAAAGAAAAAAGAAAAAGACTGCTAAACGAAAATATTGGGTTCGACCACTATTATTGCAGCGAAAACATAATGGTCATTTTCATATTCTTTTTCAATTTATTAAAAACCATGATGATGAGCAATTTTTCAAATTTACTTGAATGACTGTTTCACAATTTGAAAGACTACTTGAATTAGTACAAGAGCCTCTGACAAAAAAAAAGTCTTCGTGAGCCTCTCTCGCCGGCACATCGATTATGTATTACTTTATAGTAAGTATGTTTTGTAATATTTTTAATAATTTGTTATGTTTCTTGAACTATATTATAATACGAATATTTTATTTTATATAGTTATGTAGCTCATGGTTGCTCTATGCAAACTATTGCATGGAACTTTTATAAGCCGGAGTCAAAGCCGTAAAAGTTCAAATAAACCAACTTTTACGTTTAAGCGGGGAGCACAGACTTTTGCATAACGCATAAACCATATACATAAAGAATTTGATTGGTCCATTGACTCATGCATAAGAAAATGAGCCAATGAAATTCCTTATGCACATGCTTTATGCGTTATGCAAAAGTCTGTGCTCCCCGCTTTACACGCTTATGTTAAGCTTACAGACCCTATTGTAGACGCGCCTTTACTTTATTGACTTTATGCTATTGATTTTACGCCACTTTATGCCTATGGCCTGGTTTACATCGTGCACTTGATACGCGTATCAGATACTATATTCGTATCAAATTCGTACTATAAACATTTAGTACGCACGATGTAAACGCCGTCGGATTATTTTGGTACGAGCGTATCAAGCAGGAGTATCGTACTAAACTGATACGCGTATCAAATGATACAAATGGCGATGTAAACGCATGAAACACATAGGTGCATCCAGAAGCACGACCGCTCACTAAGCGCTCAATGAGCTTTTTTATCTGATTGGCATATTCTATTAGATCTAAATATATAAACCAAACAGGTACAAGAGCTCACTGAGCGCTCAATGAGCGGTCATGCTTCTGGATGCACCCATTTAATACGCATACCAATTCTTTCATGATGTAAACCAGGTCTATGATAGAGCTGGTAGATTACTATATAAGTTCGTTAAAAAGTTTCAATAGAATCTCTCGTAAAGGCCAAAAAACATCCAAAAATGGATAAGAATCAAATCAGAGTAAATTAAGAACTTAATAATGAATTTATTATATAAAATTATGCGTTATGTCATATTCAATTCATTTTTTACAAAATTGTAAGGTTATCGTTGTATAATAGAATGTTGCATGTAAAATATTTGCTTTCTCTTTCTCAAACGACTATAATGTATATATTTAGCTCATTTTAAATGCATTTTAAGTGTTAATTAACTTTTTACATGCTTTCAAAAATGCCTTTTTCATTTTAACATATTATAATATATCCACATTGCATGCTTGGACCCTTTCAGCACAAATGTGGATATTATGGATATGGCTCTTCAAATTTACCATAAATTTTTTGCATGAATTCTTTAAGCATTATGTGGAGGATGAAGATCGCATTTTTGTTGATGAAAATTATGTTGTGACAATATGTATGTGCTTCTGCATTTTTTAATTCTTTACACATATTTTAGTATATGTCATAACAATTAAATATACTTTATCTTTATCATTTGTTTAATAATTTGTTTAATAGACAAAACTAAGACTACGGAACATCCTATACAAAAAGATTTAGATGAACTTTTGATTAGAACGGTGAAAAAAAGGAGAGCACTCTATGACTATAGTATACCTGCCCTTGGAAGAAGTAATTTATGTAAAAATGCTTTATGAATAGAAATTTCCAACATTCTAGAAGGTATTATATCTGTATCAATATATTTGTGAACACACACTCTCTCACACATACAATAGATATTTTATACATTATGAATCAATCATGAAAACTCGTTAGGAGCTCTTACATCAGAGATGGCTAAGACTCGCTGGAAATACTTACGAGATAATTATATGAAAGCTCGTAAGAAGGTCTAAAGCTATATTCCCAGTGGATCGGCAGCTGAAGCCGCTAATATAAAAAAATCTAAATTCAGATTTTATGATCTCATGACATTTTTAAACGATGTTTTCGAAACACGAAAGTAAGTTATAGCATTATTCTAATTGGTTTTACAGGTTACATTAACATTTTATAGCTAAAATATTAAAAATATTGTATATATATAAATGAATATATTTATTCTAGGACAGTCAGTTGATTATCAGACAATGTTACTGAAAATGAAATATATAGAACATCTGAGCAACATGAGGATGATAATGGAACTCCATCTTTTGATTTCACTGATACTTCGATACCGACTACCATCCATGATTCTCTACCAATGTACAAACTCATTCCCACTCATGTACAAACTCCTACATCAACTCCGGTGGCCAAAAGTAAGTCATCATTTAATCTGTTGAAACATTTAATATAGCAACGATTAAATATAAAGTTTCTGAAAGTTAATTCTTTCAATAATCACTACACTGTTTTCCGAATATATTAATATATTTTCTCTATGAGTAGAGGTCAAAAAGTCAACAAACTTTTTTTCTAATTCGAAATGGAAACCTGCGATTAAGCGTACACAATAGAAAGTTGTCAATTACAATTTTTTATTCTAATAATATTTTTTTTGTTAGAGATATGATATTGTGTATTTACATAATAATGAATATTAGCATAATTCGATTTATTTATATATATATATATATATTCTTCATATAAATTATGTTTTAGAGCAAAAGAGCGATGCTTTTCAAAAAGCTTTAATAGAAACACTTAAAGAGCTAACAGTACAGATTACTGATCCACTAGATGGTTTTTTAATAAGATTAGGAGAAGGTATGCGGAGGCCTCCATACCATGACAGAGCTCGCCTGGAAATAGAATTTTTGACATTACTCGCTGAGAAAGAAAATTTGTGTAATAACAATGATCCAAGTACATATCTACCAACGCGTTATTAGCTGGGAACGTTTCATTTTCACTTAGGATAACATTATATTATAATATTATATAATAATAACATTACATTACATTTTAGTTTATAAAACTCTGACATATATTTCAGTTTGTGAAAAAATTTTTTTTTATAATTACTCTAATATTCTTAATATTTAACAAAATCGACTCATTTAAATCTTTCTTACCTGCAGCTTGAATTTTTTTTCAATGGAAAATTATTGAGCAAAACTTTTTCCCACTGCCAAGGTACTGCACAAGTATTTTCAAAGTATGATGCGAAATCATCTCGAATTTTAGAAGCATGTCTAGCGTGGACATTGATTCTACTAGAATTATTTATTTCTTGCATCGCATTACTTGGCATAGCTCCACTTTCATTAATAATAATACGTGTATAACGTCTTTTAGAGAGCGGCAACTTGTTTTCATTTTGAATAACAAAGTTGTGTAAGCATACATTGCTTGAATAATTTTAACTGCTGTAGAAACAGATGCAATTATCGATGATAAATTCGCCATTTTCCTGCCAAAATGCCGAATGCACTTTCTATCATTCTTCGTGCTCTACTAAGACGATAGTTAAATACCTTTATAAATAATAAATATTATACATAAATACATATATACAATTTCAATGCAGCCTTATTTTTGAATACCTTTATATATACAAATATTTCAAAAGCTTATTTTTGATATATGATATTTACTATATTGATAATACCTTTCTTTGACGGTTGTCTAGCCACTTCGTGGATACGGTCGCTTCATGTAAGGAGTCAAAGCGAATGCCTTATCCCCTACTAATACAAACGGTAATGCAGGCACAGAAGTTTCAATTGGTCTTGGTTGTGGTAAATTCATCTGATTTCTTTCAAATCGCTGACCGAAGAGTGAATGTGCAAAGATCCCGCCGTCACTCTGTCTGCCTTCCGCACCAATATCAAGTAATGTGAAACAATAATTAGCATTCACAACTTGCTAGTAAATTAATGCTATGACAACCCTTGTAATTAAAGAAAGTTGAGCCGCTGTGAGGAGGTGCCTGAGAAAGCAAGAAACAATTTTTTTCTCTCACGCATTACATATATAAATATTACCCTTATAAAAAAGTACTACTACTGTCACTGGTAGTGCTGTAGTATCACTACTGTACATACAGTAGTGTCACTATTGGTACGAATAGTAATACTGCTCGTGACTAGTAATATAGAAGTGCAGTATTAAATTCACATTAATGGCACTAGTAGTATCACTACTAGGATGAACAGTGACACTACTAGCACAATAGTGCAATCTGTAATAATGCATTTCCGCATTTACAAAAATGATTTTAATACAAATTTGAATAAAAGAATCGATTTTAATCAATTTTTAATAAAAAAGGAAATTATTATTTTAATTATTTCTTATTTTTAATCTTTTTTTTAAACCATTATTTTTTTTCGAATTTACTACTGCATTATTGCATTAGTAGTGACACTAATAGTACTTTTTTACGAGGGTAAATACATTATTTGTATAAATATTGATCCAGCAAGAAAGGAAAATTAATTCGACGTCAATTTGATTTCGACATTGTATTGATATTGATTTCATTTTCATTACTTATTGAGAACTTACTTGAATTTGTATATGTTTCCTGTCTATCGCACCTATGCAATGCGAAAAGTTCCATTTTTTCACAAAATCACTTGCGATTTTTATCCAATTCTCTTTGTTTATTTCAGGAAAAACTAAATTATGGAGAATATTCCATAATTCCTCACATGTTTCAGAAATGATTTTTGAGGCAGTATTAATTCCAATTCGAAAAGAATAAGCTATTGAAGTCATACTGTTTCCAGAAGCTAAATAACGTAGGCATATTAGAAGGCGAGTACGGACTGGTATTGGATCTCGAATGACATAACGTTTTTCAATACGTGGACCAACAATATGTAATAACTGGTCGAACATTTCTGAGGACATTCTACAATAATTGTAAAACATTTCATGATCGACTAATTGCATTTCTTTGACTAAATTGTTACAGGCACCCTGCGATAATCTTTGTTTATCTGTGAATATTGGGTGCATCCACATTCTATGATGAGCTTTTTCATCGTTTGATATACCATCAATATCCACACAACTTGCATAAACGCATGCATAAAAAAATTATCCAATCGCATTTCTCTTATACAAATGCACGAAATGTGATTAGATAGTTCCTTATGCATACGTTTATGCGGTTATGCGAGTTGTGTGGATATAACTTTAGTATACGTATTTCGCTCTTCTTCTTCTTCTACATTTGGGTGGCCCAGGTTCCGTTAAATACCGGATTATCGTGGCCAGTCGTACCAAAAAAGTTATATGTAAGAGTCAACGCACAGTCAAAGTCGGCAACACTTTCAAAAATTGATGATGCAATGCACGCGAGAATGGCGTTGCTCGACCGGTCTCCGGGCGCCTGCGTCTACGGCGTCGTCACGTCGCAATAACGCGCGTCATGAGAGCCCAGGTCGTCAAAAGGTGCAATGGACGAACTATCGAGACGAGCTCAACCGCGAACACGCATCTGTATAATATAATGCACAGTCAAAGTCGGCAACACTTTCAAAAATATACAAAGAAAAGCACCCGAACCGAAACGCGTCCGTAACGGTCGGATAAAGTGTCTAATGTTTTTATACGTATTTCGCAATTGTGAATAAAATAAAGTTAACGTGCGCTGTGAAGATTTTATCAGAATCGCTTACTTACATTTATGATGAAAATAACGACAGCATTTTAAAAGTTATTGCTGAACAAATTCTCGAAGATAACCAAATTCCCAGAGTAGAAGGTTATGTGGAACATATAATTCCATCGCTTAGTGCTATGCAATTCAAAGCTCACTTTCAGTATCTATTATTTGTTATTATACTTATTTTTATATGTTATTATATTCATATTTATTAACAATATATACATTTGTTTCTTATTAAAATGCTTTCTTCAACATTCGAATTTTTATTGGAAGAGATTGGACAAAAATTGATTCGTACTACCGAAGGCAATGAAATGATACCTGCAGAAAAACAATTATAGTTGCTTTCCATTTGTATCAAAACTCAGATAATTCTGACTTGTGACGTCATAACTCAGTTGAGTGCATGTTCCTTTTACATTTGGTAAGTGAGATTTAATTGAATTTTTAACTACAATCTGCACAAGCTCGAGACCGTGTGCTTTACTGAGTCTCGTAGACTCATTCGTAAAAGTGAGGTTACGAACTTATGTGTATGCAATGACTTTCTTACCAAAAAGAGCAAGTAAGGACAAAATGATAAAAGAATTATAATTAATGATAGCAAATAATCGGTAATTATTTGGAGTACAGGTTTCACCTTTGATTTCGGTGGGGTGTTGGGCTCATTTGACGCGTTTGTTGCGCGGAGGGAAAGAGTCTGGAAGAAATAACGTTAAGTCAGGAGCCAACGTTTTTCAGATTCTTTTGTTTCGTGCGATAGACATGTTGGGTGGACCTGGTATTTCGTCAGGATCAGGGATGGGGCCCATATTCTAAATAACAAAATGGTTAGAGAAAATTTCTCAGTTTAGCGCGTTCCTTTTACATACTGAACAATGACGTCATTATCTGAGTATGAAATACTCAGCTCATTTCAGACTCAAGTTTCACTTGAGTGTAAATGGAAAGCAATTATTATTAAGTTTATGGCGTTTTGCAATTCCATACACATATAGATCAGTTAAAAATATAAATATTATATAAGATATAATATAAAGAAGAAAATGTTGTATAGAAAAAAATAGAAAAATCAGAAATATGAAAGAAAGTTTTATACTTATATTTATATAATTAGAATAAAGTATAAGAAATGTAATGTATCACAACTTTCACAAAATAATGTCATTATTTTGTACAATACATACACTTGACCTTAAATTTTCTTATATACATTAGTGTTATTTCTTATGCACAAGAGCACTAATAAAAATGATATTATTGGTTATTATTTCTGATGTAAAACTTTTTTCCACATACTTTATGGTATATATTATATGTAATAAATCACATTTTACATATTATTGTACTTTTAGATCTATAATTGAGAGACGTTGGCAAGGCTACAGCTGAACTATGCATTGTGTTGCAAAAGTACTTTGTCAATTATTGCCAAGATATATAGTATAGCCAACAAATAATAAAATGTAAGATATTGTACGTGGATTTTCTTGTAAAAATGGTTTCCCTAATACAATTGGAGATGGTACACGTATAACTATTCCAGCACCTACAGAAAATGCAGAAGCATATATCAATCGAAAAGGTCATCATTCTATTCATCTGCAGGTAATACTTTAATAATGCTGTTATAATATCATTATTTATATAATTTATTTCAAAACGTTATACATATTGTATAACATATTGTGTACGCGTGTATATATGTGTAGACATTATAAATTCCCGTAATTATAACCAGAATATCTAAATCCATGTCTAATTTATTGTATTACGCTTATTATTAGTAATGAATATAGCCGCAAGCAGCATACGATATTTTTTTATTGTTGAATTGCTAACTAGATAAGCATCTTGCTATTGTATTGACTGCAGTGTCAGCATCGCAGCCAATGTAGTAGCAAGATGCTTATCTACATAGTTAGTAATAAAGTAGCAAAATACCAACTGAGCTAGCAATCTAGCAGGAAAAAAAGCTTTGTGTATTGCCGGCTTAAGTAATTTGTGATGCATTTTTTTGTGCAGGTGGTGTGCGACAATGCAATTCACGCATGTACCATATATGTGGGGAATGTAGGATCAGTTCATAATGCTCGTATTTTTCGCTTATCAGTTTTCCAAGATTATATAAATAATCCCAAGTTTCCCAATAATACCATTTAATTGGAGACGCTGCATATGAACTGCATAAACATCTTTTAGTTCCATATGTGGACAATGGACATCTCACAAAACGACAAAAGAATTACAATTATTGCCATTCTTCAACGAGAATGGTAATATAATAGAAAGGGCATTTGCTCTTTTAAAAGGACGCTGGAGAAGTTTCTTACAATTACTAGCAATCAATCGTATTAATTTTACACCATATCACATATTAGCGTGTTGTGTGCTTCATAACATTTGCTTATTGAAAAAAGACGAATTGAGATTACAAGATGTTTTTAATGTAGAAGAAGTAGAATTGCAAAGGGAAAGAATTAGATATAATGATAGAATAATTGCAGAAGCTAAGAGATTTAACATATGTAATAATTTAGATATGAGAAATGCTCAGAATGTTCAAAATGGATAAAGATATTTATGTATAATATATAATCGATAAAATAAGATATATTACAATCAAATAAAACTTTGTGCATAAATATATATTTAGCATACTTTAATACAAATTTATTACATACTTATTCAAACATAAAGTTTCTTATTCGAGCACATTTCTTATCCAAAACGAAAACAAAACGTATGTAGCATGTATTATTATACTTTTATCACATCGTTACTACTTTTCTTAAATAAACTTTTCAAAAGTAAAAATAAAATATATATTACATTTATATGACATTGTTATCATTTCTCTTAGTCGAAAATAAAAATATAATGTATACTATACCGTATTAATTTTTATCACATTATTATATTATTAAAAATAAAAATATCAGGAGACGCGTCTCCAGCCATGTTCATATTATCTTATTTCAAATAAAATAAAAATAGAATATATTTAGCATATATTGTAACATTTTATCACATTCTTATTCAAAACTAAAAACTTTTTAATTATCTTTAATTATTCAGAAGAGGTGTGCCTCCCCTCCAATTTTAAAAATTAGTCTCATTTGACGTATTTTTGCACAAAAAAGAATCTGAGAGAAAAAAATTGTTGCTCTGCCCTGCGAACCAAGATATTGAAGTTGATGCATTTTGTATACATATTTTTTTTAAAGCAACTATGTGTTTTCTTTACACCATTTGATTTATCTCATTATTCTGTTCACAAAAATATTAAGGTACGATAATCAAAAAGTCAACAGTTTACGAGTTATTTAACATTTTGTGTCAATATGTATCAAAATAAAGTGTAAAATATCTCGAAAACTATTGGTTTTTTGGTATCTCTACCTTAATACTTTTATATGCAAAATAATTAGAGGAATCACGTTATCTAAAAAAAATTACATAATTCCATTTAAAAAAGTGGAGATGACCTTCATATCTTTTTAGCGCCTCCACCAAAAAAACAATTATTGACATCACATTATGTGCCCCTCGAAACCAAGCAACTTTTGTTTGACACTTTTTCTTCTATTGTCAAAAACGAGTTATTCAGGTGACCTGTTTTAAATGCCCCTCCCTGTATTTAAATTAGACTTTAAGAACTCGTCGCTAGTATTTACAGCTACAGAAATTAAACGTTTTCGACGTAACTCAACACTATCCATTTTGAATTTGTACATTTGAAATTTGGTGGTCGTTCGAAAACCAACAGTTCTCTAAATTCCCCATTACCCCCACCAACGCATCCCTAAGTCACCTCACTTGCGCCGGCAGAGGACGTTTTCGAACGCAGCCATGGTGGTACATAGTTCCAGCTCGAAAATGGACGTTGGTGCCGCTAGTGTAAAGCTCATGGCACATAGAAAAACGTAAACGTAAGCGGCGGCTGCTACGTTCTCAACTGTGATTGGTCAATTCGCTTACTGATTACGTTTACGGCCTTACGTTTTTCTATGTACCATGGACTTGAGGCGAGAAACACACACTTTTGCATAACGCATAAAACATGTGCATAAGGAATTTCATTGGCCCATTTTCTTATGCATAAATCAATGAATCAATGGGCTCATTCAGCAGAAAAGAGCGCTACGAGAGCGCTCGCTGTTATTGGTGTATTCTTCTAGATCATCCAATCAGAATTTTAAATCTGGAAGAATATACCAATAACAGCGAGCGCTCTCGTAGCGCTTTTTTCTGCTGAATGCGCCCAATCAAATTCTTTATGTATATGGTTTATGCGTTATGCAAAAGTGTGTGTTTCTCGTCTAAAGCATTACAGGAAAAAGGCCGCCATGGCCGCTCTCAGGTTTCTCTCTGGTTATACCAAAGAGGTTATATAATCTCTTTGGATTATACTGTGTCGATTTATGTCTCCTAAAAGGAAAGCAGTCATAGATTCAGCGAAGAACTAAATGCAAGAATCAATCATATTAAAGAATCACTAAGCGCTTTAGCTATATCCACACAAACTTGCATAACCGCATAAACGTATGCATAAAAAAAATTATCCAATCATATTTTACATGCATCTCTATAAGGGAAATGCGATCGGATAATTTTCTTTATGCATGCGTTTATGCAGCTATGCAAGTTTGTGTGGATATAGCTTTAGGCCTATCGCACATGAAATGCATAACTGTGCATAAGCATAACATAAGGCCGCTGGACCAATGAGCATCATGTTAATCAATATGGCGTCTTTATGCTGGATGCTCATTGGTCCAGCGGCCTTATGTTATGCTTATGCACATTTATGCATTTCATGTGCGATAGGCCTAAGAAAATGAACCAATCAAATTCTTTATGTATATGGTTTATGCCAAGAAGACTAGAACCAGGAGAGTAAACTAGCGTGGTGGGGGTAGGTCAAAAAACGTCCGCGGTTATTCATTCAATGCGCAGTGGCATTGCACCATGAAGGAAGATATAAGGAGACTCCACTCGGTCTCGCCAGTCTACAAGACATGAACCCATTTTAGGTTTCGAGTTCCGAGTGAAATTCCTTATGCACATGCTTTATGCGTTATGCAAAAGTGTGTGTTGGGGCTCTTACGTTTTTCTATGTGTCATGGGCTTAAGGAATTTTATTTGCCCATTTTCTTATGCATTAGAGACCCTCTAATCAGAGTCGCGAAATAACGTCAATAAGGTTAGGTCGGCGATACCATTTTTCAGCAAAAACCGGAAGTAGCGATTAAATATAATACTATTGCACGTACGAGCACCATCGCAATTGCAATGAAAAGATTATGATTGTGATACATTAACACCTAATACATGTGAATCTAAATACAGTTATCAGAAAGAAATTACATTATTATATTTTTTATATTAATACTGTATTTCATAAAATTATGTTTTCTAAAATGACTGGTTGTTCTACACCAGACTGCAATAATTCTGTAAAAAAAGGGTTATATTATGAAAGTCTTTCTTTGTAATCCTGAAAAAAGAGCAAATTGGGCAGCGAATGTAGGTCGACTTAAATTTGATGCCATGACTATTTCCGGTTTTTACTGAAAAATGTCAGCACCAATCAAAATTGGAAACGTTATTTCGCGACTCTGATTAGAGGGTCTCTATTATGCATGAGTCAACAAACCAATCAAATTCTTTATGTATATGGTTTATGCGTTATGCAAAAGTGTGTTTCTCGCCTAAATTCTCGCCTTAAAGCGGGGAGCACAGACTTTTGCATAACGCATAAAGCATGTGCATAAGGAATTTCATTGGTCCATTTTCTTATGCATGAGTCAGTGGACCAATCAAATTCTTTATGTATATGGTTTATGCGTTATGCAAAAGTCTGTGCTCCCCGCTTTAGCCTACTGGACGCGATGGGCGATGCGCGACAAGCGATGTGCGATGATTTAATTTTTGTCCGTTCATACTGAATACGACAAGCGGCGAGCGACCAGCCGACCACAGCATCGATGATCGAAGTGAATTTGCAAACTTTGGTAATTTTCACACACAATCGACCCCCAGATCTAGGTCTGAGAAACCGTATGTATTAAATTGTAAAGTACATTCAGGGAGACGCTATTTCTGTCATTCTACCTACTTGTTTTATGTCTAATAAACAAAATAGAATAATAGAAATAGCGTTAATAGCATTTTTCCGAACACACCATAAAAATGTAGAAAATAACCTAAAATTGTTAACCTTAGATACATTTGTTATTTTAGTACGTTATGGAATCAGCATCAGCTATTAGTAGACATAATCGTTTTTTAACGCTGTTACGCCTGTATGCGAAAATAAGACATTTTGGTATGGATTATCACCAGAAACGTCTTTTTTTATCAATTATGGTATCTAAAACACCAGGCACAACGACGAAGTGATGAAAGCTACTTTGATTTATCGGTACGACGACGATGGTGGGTTCGTCCGATAAATCAGCGTCGGGGAATAATTAAGGAGATGATGAACATCTCATTAATGAGATGCGGTTTCTGGACATTGATTTACATTTCAAGTATTGCCGTATGACAGTCGACATCTTCGATAAATTATTTAGAATTGTTGGACCTTCTTTACAAAAAACAAACTAATTTTAGAGAACCTATTTGTCCTCGCACAAAGTTATACTTGACATTAAGGTAAGTTTATTAAAATGAACGCTAATAATTATTAAGAAATAATTATGTAAAATATTGATTTTTCAATTACATGCAGATACTTAGCCACAGGAGATAAAATGGCCTCTATTGCTTTCACATTTCGCATAGGACGTAGCACTGTTTCAACAATTATCGCTGACACATGTGAGTACTTATGGCAAGCGCTGAAAAATGAAATGTTTATACCGTCAGAAGATAATTGGAAGGAAATTACGAAAGAGTTCTATACACACTGGAACTTTCCACATTATAGGTGCTGTAGACGGGAAGCACGTTGTTGTGAAGGTAAATGTATTTGTAGATTTATATAAAAATAATATTAAATAGTTTATCTAAAATATTGATACTAACGTAAGTTTTATTAATATACATGTGATATGAGTTTAATAAATAAATATTTTAATTTTTATGCACCACCAAAATCGGGATCAACATTTTACAACTATAAAGGAAGTCACAGCATAAATTTAATGGCCGTGGCTTCAGCATTATATCGATTTCTTCTTGTCGACATTGGAGCTGAAGGTCGTCATAGTGGAGTATTCAAGAATTCTCTCATGGGACAACTATTTGCTGATTACAAACTTTATCTACCTCTACCTTCCCTGATAGTCGAGAACGGAGATCCAATGCCATATGTATTGGTAGCAGATGAGGCGTTTCAGCTGACCAATTATACAATGAGACCATATCCAGGAAAAATACTTACTTATGACCGAAGAATTTTTAATTATCGGTTAAGTCGAGCTCGGAGAGTTGTTGAAAATACCTTCGGTATAAAGGTACCTTTTCACGAGCTGCTCAAACTGGCCGTTCCAGCGACAAAAAAGTTCCAGTGATAAAAATTGACGAATAGCAAGCGTCATATTCGCTTGCTATTCGTCAATTTTTATCATGTGACCTTTTTTGTCGCTGGAACGGCCAGTTTGAGCAGCTCGTGAAAAGGTACCTTAATGGTGGCACGATGAAGAATTTTAGAAAGATAAATACGTTGTTACAAACTGCAGAAAAAATTGTTAAAGCTTGTGTGGTGCTGCATAATTTCTTAATGAATAAATTACTGTATTGCAGGCCAGGTTTTGCTGACTCGGTACAGACAGATGGAACAATAAATTCTGGTGAATGACGCTAAGAAATACGAGAAGGACTCCAGTTGATAAAAGGAAGAAGAAGTTGATAGTAGGAAGTAATACTCATTCTCGAAATGCAGCAATTGTGAGAGAGAGCTTCAAAAATTATTTTCTCGATATTGAAGCTGTTCCGTGGCAATAGGATCTGATACGTTAAAGAAACTTGTGTTTATTATATAACTTTGATTGTGTTATTATATAACTTGTGTTTATTATATATAATGTTTTTGTTATAACAAAATAAAGTTCAGTTATACAATATCTACTTCAGGGAATGGAAAGTTACTTTTTAAAAGTAACTAGTTACAGTTACTCGTTACCGAGTAAA